CTCACCCCGCTCTTTGCCCTGTGGTCGGACCAAGTCCTTGTAAGGATGCCTAGAGTTTTTCAAAGGACAAGGTTTTGTTTAAATAAAGAAAAGAAAGAGATCAGCAATAGAAACCTTAGTATTGCCGACCGAAGTTTAGAGATTAAGAGAAACTGAATCCGAATTATTCTCTTCTGGACTCTTAAAAGTTTCCGACGAATGAATGTATGTGAGACAAATTTGACCTGGAATTAGGAAAATAGAGGCCAGCGTTTGCTCCGTAGTCATTCTCCCCTGGAGGGGGGGGAGCCAGTCCCCACGGCTTGGCTGACCTTGAGGGCTGGAGAAGGCTCAGCACCTGCGGCTGGTCCCGCCTTGCGCTGAAGGGACTGAGCCCCTGTGGCTGCAGCAAAGATCTTTTCACTGTGGGTTCCCGGTGAGGTGTCACTGTGTCGCCAGGCTTTAGATCCCCAGCGGCAACAACTCCCTGGGGGCCTCTGGTGCTTTATTTGGGGGGGGGGGAGCGTGTGCTTTACTAATTCTGTGGGTGTGGTTGGCAGGTGGGGAGACCTTTTCCTGTGTGTACCACCCGGTGCAGAAGCCAGAGGCTTGGTTAAAGAGGACAGTGTGGGAAGCTGAAAGGTTCAGAGCAGGACCCCAGCTTCCTGTCTGATGGTGGGAGGTGTTTACATAGAAGAGAGGAGGCAGTGTCATCCTTGAAGGACTTGGAAGAGGGGCCATGGGAAACCCAGTTGCTCCGTGGCAGGGATATCATTCATCCAGATTGACTTCGCATCCTGGGCATAGCCAGAACCATGGAAATAATATTTAAAAGAAATCTTGGACACCATTGAGCCCAGCCCCACTATTTATAGACAGGGACAGCCAGGCCCCAAGTTGGGAGGGGGTTGCTCAAGTTCTGAGGGCTCTTTAGCTGGCTCTGGGGCCACCTGGGGATTTTCCACCTTCCAGGTTATCTGGCAAAACCCCCAACAGCACCAGGCACATGGATTCTGTGCAGGAATCCCCTTCCATCTGGCCTAGGCCTGAGAATACCCACTGGGTTTTCCTCCTTCATGAGGTTCCTCTGGGAGCTTCTCTTTCCTGTCTCCTGTCTGTGCAAGGTTGGACTTCTGAAAATGAGCAGGTCTTGTCTGGAACCTGGGACTAAGGAGTGAGTCCTCCCTTCAGGTCTTTACAAAGGCAGAGCTTTGCAACCCTAAGAAATCATGTCTCCTGGTGCGATGTGATGGGCAGAGAGGCTTGTCAACAAAAAAGGTCTTAGTGTCCCTTGAATGTCCTGTGAGTGACTGAGAGTCTTCAAAGCCCTATGGGGCTCAGTGAAGGCAAATGGTTTGCCCTGACTTCCCAGAACGGACAACCTCCCAGGGCTCCCTGGCCTTCTCTTAGAGGCTCAGCAGGGGGGCAGGAGTGCCCCTGAGGGTAGGAACAGCCCAGCCAGGCAGCAAGATCTAATCTGTAGGGGAGTGGGGAGGAGGGTCCCAGCCAACCCATCACGGCCATCTTTGGTCAAAGTTGGGG